TCTGCTCTGGGATGATGATCTTCACTCCTATAATGATCTCCAAGCTCGATTGATGAAACCCAGCTCTAAAATCACTTCTAGGATGTGTTCTTCGCACTTTCTCTCTTTAGGGCTCTGTTTCTTGTTCAAAAACTCAATTCCCTCTCCTTTTGCTCGAAATTGGGTTAAAACCCAGATTTTCCCAACCACACTGCCGTGTGGATTCCCAATTTGCTCGTGTGGATGATAAAACGCAGCGTTTCAATTAATGGGTCTTCAGGCCTTCTGCACGGCCAGAGACACACGGCCGTGTGGATTTTCCAGCTGGCCGTGTGAGCTCCCTGGACTTTCCACACGGCCACAAGGGGTCCCCTACACGGCCAGTGTGGCTTGCCCGTGCAAATTGGTGTCACACGGCCAAGTCACACGGCCGTGTGGGATTTTATGTGTGTCCGTGCGGCTTCCTCAGCTTCTTGCCAAACGTCCAATCTTCGTCCAATCGACCCCGAGCTCGTTCCCAAACCTTCATTCACGTACTAGGACCTGAAATATCACAAACAAGAACAACCTAGCGTGAAATCGGCCTAAAACACGAGAAATAAGACTCAAACGGTACAAGAATGATGGACAAAAACATGTGTAAATATCAAGTCATCATGCACCCTGCCGACTTGATACCCCGTTAGGGGGCCACCAAGCCCATTATGAGACTTAGTCTCCATATAGCCCCCTAAGGGGCTCTATATCATGTCTATGATGACTTGGTACCCTCTAGGGGTCTTAGCTCCATACTTAGCCAAATTCATGTTTTTTAAGTCTTGGTACCACGACATGTCTTTTCGACTTGGTACCCTCGTGGTACTTTGGCTTGGTACTTAACCAATCTTGTCGTGCTTGGTACCCTGTCGTTTGGCCCCCTGTTGCCATGAGATTCCAATACTTAGCCAAATTTCATGCTTGGGTACCAGGGATGTCTTGCCGTCTTGGTACCCTCTTGCTATGGGTGAAGATCACTCAACCTCGTTTTTATCCTTTTGTTTGTGAATTGTGCATTTTTTCGGCTTTTCCGTTTGTCTAACCCTAACTTTGAAATTCTAAGTTCATATTTGAATATTAATATTATATGCTAGGACTGAATTTGAATTTTCACTATGTGTTGCATCCAAATATGAAATGTTATTTTGGTGTAATGTTATATGTTTATTATCCATATATTAGATGCCATTAGTTATAGTTTTTAAATATTTGAAATATAATAACTTTTCATATATCCGGACTAAAGCGATTACACTTAGTAATGGCAATTTGAACCTTCTCGCGGGTATTACCCGACCTGACCCGCGATGGGGTGGGTATTACCCAACTCGCAATAGTGTGGGGCATGGCATGTATATCTACTTTCGACCCGCCTTGCCCCACCCCGTTCTTGGCCCATACGATCTCAATTACTTACAGTATCTATACATATTTTTCTATTTTGACTTCTTTTCAATTGGTTAGAGTCTATCTTTCAACTTGTTAGACTCAATTACCCACTTTATTATCACTATTTTCATTCATAAAGTATTTTTTCCCTTCATTTTAACGTAAAAAGTAAAATTTGTGTGTATTTTTTTTGAATCACATGTAAGAGTGGGTCGACACGTCTTGCCCCATACCCGCACGAGTTTTACCTACCCCGATCCGCAGTAGCATGGGGCAGAGCACCCCGCCCCATTGCCATCACTAATTACACCATTAACACTCAACTCACTAGCTCGATCAGACCAACCGGCCAAACGCGGTTGCTAACCTTACTTCATAATGTCTACATGGTTAGTTACAAAATAGTTCATGTTTGGCAAGTAAGGGAGTAAATTCGAGGGGGTGTGAATTGGTAGGGTGTAAGTCTAAGGAATAATTTGTTTGGAAAGAAAAATTAGAAAGTGTAAAGTGATGTGAAAATGTATGTTAAATTATTATATAAAAATAAAATATAAATAATAAATATGCAATAATTTAAATATTTTATATTAGTAGTAACAACTGTATGTTTCTTATGATAATAATCATTTTTATGCATAATCAGTATTGTATTCAAGAAAACAATAATAATCATTATATTAAAAAAATCTAGGTTTAGAGATTTTTTTTAGTAGAGTGGGTAGGTTTGTTCAGAAAGGGAAGAGGGAATGTAGAATAGTCATCCTGCTTTTGTCAGTTTGAGCTAAGACAAGGTTGTGGTGTAACATATTGATGAGTGAGTTGTAACTTGTAACCCTAAACGCTCTGCTACTATTACCATAGGTGTTGACAAAGGGTTTGGGACAACAAGAGTCGAAGGAGGATAGTCATACCAGACCTCAAAGAGAGTAAATACAGGTTGATGTGATAGCACCACTTTGTCATAGATAACCAGGACAACTATTGATGGGGATTACAATGAGTGATATCCAGGGGGACAAGTGTAGTTTCGTACCTTTCAAAGAGCAGAGGGATGTCCTGAAGGCACTGGAAAATATTGCATCTCTAGCATGCACAATTGTGTGCGGTCCCATGTAACTTGAAGACCTTATCAAAGATTATATTAGCAGCTGTATAAGGATGTCTCAAACTGAAAAGTGGCCCTTGTTGGGAAATCTATTAAGTTGCCACCAATATCATCTCATTCCCCGCCAAGTTAGGTATCACTTCCATGAAACGTTAGATGTGTCGCCAAGTAAGATCAAGAGTAGCAAGGGCTGTAGCAACCCTGGATAAGGAACACTCTTGATTTTGCAGCATTAGCTACCGCACAGTGAGTCAGTGACCTCTATTTTATTGAGTGTTGCAATGCAAGATTGTATCAATCTTTGGCCTTGGTAGTTTTGTCGATCAGAAAACAGAGTTCTTGTAACAAAGTAAAAACCAAGCAAGTAAATGTATACGAGTCATCAAAATCATATCCATATAAGTTCTAGAGAACATTCAAAAAGTTGGAGGATGACGCACCAGAGCGAGGTTGAGGAAACTATGGAGTTGTCAAACCCATCTAGAGCTTAAAGAGAATCGACAGAGGGATCTAACCCTTGCTTAGGAAATTCAGGGTGAACCGCCAATTGAGCCTCTGAGTTTGAGTCAGAATCACTACTAATCCAGTGTACATCGTGATTTTATGCATTAATTGTTCAACCATCATTGCTTTCCTAACTTTCGCAGTTAGTTTATGGGAGAACTTAACTATTAGAGCCCTTAAGTTGTGTCAGACTATATCTAGTTTGATCTCTGGCAAAAAGATTATGAATGCTTTCTAATGTGCTCAAGCAGTTGATAAGAAAACATATATTTTTATACTTTTAAGCAATTGTTTTGGCCTCTTTAATGAAGTAAGGTTTTTAAATAGAAAAAAGTTGTATTTTCCTATTTGACGGTAGAGAACTGAGACATCAGAACCTATCAACTACTTCTGGTTTTTAGTTTCTTGAGATGCAAGTATAGACAGATTTCACTCATAGGAGTCAAAAGCTTGTAATATCTATTGTTACTGACTTGGAAATAATTTCTTTTTTTTATGAGAAATGTATCTTCTAACCTATTCCTTCCTTCTGAAGCACATATTACCTTTGGGAACCCATCAGTTGCAGTTTTGACTTTGAGAACCCATTGTTGTTTGGTTATCTGAGGTTTTATTTCTGTTTTAAACTCGTATTTTTATTCATTGCTATGATAATTCGTACTTTGACAAATCAACAATTTATCCTAGTGTAACATTAATTTCTCAAATGTCTATACTTATGGCATCTAAAGCATTGAACATGTCGTCAGTTTGGTTTCCTTTATAAAAATCCTTCTCTTGGAAAAGTTTTCAGATTCCTAGATCTTGAAGACAGTTCTAGCAAGATGGTATTATGTCTATAACAGTTGTACTGTAACTGAATTACTCGTTTAGAAAGAACTTTTACAAAGTTTTCTAGTTCATTTATACTCTTTTATTTCATCAGAAGAAATTCACATTCTCTTAGTTTTTGCTTAGACTATGGATCTATGTCTTTGCCATTTTTTTACGTAACTATTGTTTTAATTGACTCATGATATTCATCCGAAACAATGTCATCTTTGCATGCATGTAAAGTTTCAATTAGTCCTTGAATATCTTGATTTTCTTTGGCCATTAATTCTAGATGATCTTGATAAATGAGAGGCATATATCCTTTGTGCTCATCTTTTGATTTCGATTCACCCGACCCTTCTTTGCTATAGCTCCAAGTAGTAGCCATTTCTTTTTCTTGTCCACGTTGCTATAGCGAGTAGGGCTGGAAGTTTTGTACCAGTATTTTGGATATACCGAATTTGTCTATATTTGGTATTATCGAATACACGTATTATTTCTTGGGATTGAGATTGAATTTCAATTGTTATTCTGTATTAGGGATTACGGGATTGGGATCGGTATTATACCGAAATACCAATCAATACCAAAATATAAGCTAGTGTGTATTTTATCCTCTCAACTAGACTCTCTCATTCACTACTACACGAACCTCAACCACCAAGAGTGTCATTTAATTATACATAGATCATTCCATCACTATAATAGTCGTCTCCCAGTCTCCAATTCGTCAAATTAAAAATTACTAATGACAAGAACTTGAGATGTCTCATCTCCTCCATTCTCTTTAATGATATCCTAATTCAAGATTCTTTGCTTAGCCTTTTCCCCCTAAATTAAACAATAAAATCTAATTTATATATTTAATTATTAATTATAAAGGTAATTAATTTTGTATTCGATAATACCGATTGAGATACCGAAATATTTAGGGATTGAGATACCGGAATTATTTTGGGATAGAGATTGAAATTGTGATTGACTTTAATGATGTAATTTGGTATTCGATATTTGATATTTGGTATTCGATATTTGATATTTGGTATTGGGATACCGATACCGTACCTATTTCCAACCCATAGCAAGTGTTGATGCATGCCCAAAACACAACGGAAAACCCGAAACAGCGACCGTTTTGTTATTACCGCCAGCGTATCCACCTACCCCATCACAACACAAATTGCACAATTTTCATTTCCTCGGTCATATCGACCAAATCTACTCCTCAAATACCACGCGCTGTCCTCCCACCACGCGCCGCTGCAGTCCACCACTGAGACAATAAAAAGGAGCAGGCGAGGAGGAAAAAAAAAATTAAAAAAGGCGCTGATTTCTGGTACACAGAATACGGCCTCCAATCTTTCTTCTTCTTCTTCTTCTTCTTCTTCTTCTTCTGTTCTCGCCCTCTCTCGGTCTCTCCGCCAAAAAGCCGAAAACTAAACAGAAGAAAAAGATGTCGATGAAGCTTTCTGCCTGCAATGTAACGGACAGAATCCACGCCCTTCTTCCCCAATGCAGATTCCTCGCCCCATGCTCCCGCCCTTTCCCTCCCCTTCGCAACCTCGTTCTCTCCTCCTCCGCCGCCACCGTCTGCAAAGCGTCGGTGCAGTCGGTTGACGGCGGGGTGGCGTCAAAAATTGAATCTGGGTCGGCGACGGCGAGGGGGAGCTTCGCCGATACGCTGAGACTGGGGAGCTTGACAGAGGATGGATTGTCGTATAAGGAGAAGTTCATAGTGAGGTGCTATGAAGTAGGGATTAACAAGACAGCCACTGTTGAGACCATTGCTAATCTCTTACAGGTACTTCTTTCCGTGCAAAGAGTTTACACATTTTGGCAAGGGAAGCTTATGGCATCTGTCTCTATTGTGCTGTTAAATTCACGGGTTTGTTTGATTTATGGGAAACAAATTCTGGGATGAGAATTATTTTCTGCGTGCTAATGCCTATGTGATGCTACATGTTTAAACCGTGTTTCTCTGTGAATTCTGGAAGTTTATGCTTTTTGGGTTTGCTGGAACTTCAAAAAGCGTGGGTTTATTTCTTCAGTTTGAGTTTGTAATTATTTCTCTGGCTATCTGTGATTCAGTAAAATGTTGTGTGTCTTTTGGAACTTCAAATTGCTTTTGGGATTTGAAATTCCTGTCAGATTCACATTGTGTATTGAGTCATAACAATCAACAGCAAAAGCATTATTCCAATAAGCTAGAGTTCCTTATCTTCCGAGCTGGTTCATGACTGTCGGCTTATATAGGTGGCATGAAAACATTGGGGAATATGTAGACCAAAGTATATCCTCTTGCATGTAACGAAATGCTCGATGGTCTGGTTATAGTTCAAAGTCCTGGATAGAATATTTTGTCTCTTGAAGAAAAGCAGCCATGACTTGGTCTCTAGTAGGAATGGATTTTCTTTTACCAGCATGTGTAGAGATCACATTTAGTTTAACTACGGGTTGCAGGAGGTCGGGGGCAACCATGCTCAGAGTGTTGGATTTTCAACGGACGGGTTTGCAACAACTCCCACCATGAGGAAATTGCATCTCATTTGGGTGACTGCGCGCATGCACATTGAAATCTACAGATACCCAGCTTGGTGGGTTTTCCTCCTTTCATCCCCTGCCACCACCAATTCTTGAGAATCAGGTTTCTTACTATTTCTTTGCTGACTGATAAAAGATTGCTTACATGCTACAGGAGTGATGTAGTTGAGATCGAGACGTGGTGCCAAAGTGAGGGTAGGATTGGTACCCGGCGTGACTGGATCATAAAGGACTATGCTACTGGTGAAGTTATTGGAAGAGCTACGAGGTGAACTTTTGACTTTTATATAGACCGTCCTTCACCCTGCCTATCTTGCTTGTCTAACGTGAATGGATCCTTTTGTTTCCCTGACAAAAACTCATCATTTGCATCTGGCGACTATGCATTTAGTTTTTGTGTCCTCTTATCTAGTGATGTATTATGGATTATCACAAAACGTCTTCTCTAACTTTTAGCAAGTGGGTGATGATGAACCAAGATACTAGGCGGCTTCAGAAAGTCAATGATGAAGTTCGTGAGGAGTACCTAGTCTTCTGTCCACGAGAACCAAGGTACTACTCCATGCGTTTCAGCTGAATGCCTAATCTCTTTTTTGTGACTTTGCTGTGCTAAATGTTTAGTACTTTGCCTTCCCATTGCTAAATTCCATCTTTCACTCAGTTTTCCTGTTAGCACATAGGTAGGCAAACCACTTATCTAGTCTTCACTTTCTCAATATCAGTAAGGTGGGTGTAAGTTTTCAGGTGTGCGTGAAGACTACGTGGCTAATGCTTACAGTTTGTTTCAACCTTTTACAGGCTATAACCACTTTCGGAAAAGAGAAACTGAAAGTTGATACTTGTACTTCTTTTTCGTCGCTTGCAGATTATCATTCCCAGAGGAAAACAACCGCAGCTTGAAGAAGATTTTAAAACTCGAAGATCCTGCTCAACATTCTAGACTGGGACTAATGGTAAGATACTTGGTTAAGCTTGCATTTTATGCTTCCTTTCTATTTTATTTCACTTTATTGATTCCTGCTGTTTTTCTGATGAATGATTAATACCTTTGGCATTTCAGCCAAGAAGAGCTGATCTGGACATGAATCAACACGTCAACAATGTGGCGTATATTGGATGGGTTCTTGAGGTTGGTACCTGGAACTGGAAGCCCGTCTCTCGTTTGTCCTTGAACTTCCTTGCTTGATGTTCAGGGTCTTAATAATAAGTCACTTGAAATGCAACTTCATTGCAGAGCATGCCTCAAGAAGTGATCGACACACATGAACTGCAAACAATCACCCTGGATTACAGAAGAGAATGCCAGCAAGACGATGTAGTCGATTCACTCACTAGCGTGGAACCGGTTGACGGCAAGACAAATGGGTCGGCCTTGTCACCTGCTGAGGGATCCCTCAACTTCCTTCACCTGCTTAGACTGGCAGGTGAGCAAGGGCTCGAGATAAACCGAGGACGCACGGAATGGAGAAAGAAACTAGGGAGATGAAAGAGCCATCACCTTAGCAGTACATTTATGTAACTTCCAGATACCTTTCTTCATTACAGTTTAGGAGCTGGTTTGTTTGCCTTTTCCCTTGTGTGCGCTTTTTGCTTGGTGAGTGGGCTAGTTACTTATTTGTAGTTGGAGGTGCTTCGTTATGACAATATAGAGGAGAGACGAAAGAGTCGCTTATCCATAGACATTCGAGCTAGCTGATTGTCACAACGCAACTCCAGATGAACAAAGTGGTGTACCCACATATATGGCTACTTGATGCACTCAACTTTAAAAGTGATCATAATATATGGAATGTTATAACTTTAATTGGTAGCATTATTATAATATGATGATATAACATAGAATTACAACTAATCAATCCAATATCCTAATCCTTTAACCTTCAATTTTGAGCATTTTTTTTTTTAAATTCATGTGTTTCTATAACAGAGAAATTAGACATCCCCATGAATATACAAATAAAATTACCAGAGAAATTAGACATTAATCCCCATTAATATACAAATAAAATTACCAGAGAAATTAGACATTAATATCTATAGAGTTTGACAACTTTGTTGTTGTCTTCTCTCCCCACCTTTTCCCCACGTCAATCTCTATAGTTGGCTTGTCTATCTTTCACTGTCCCGTCCTCTTCCTCTGTTGTTGTCGTAGATGTCTCTTATTCAGTGGCGGATCCAGAAATTTTATATAGGGGTGTTCTCTCCTAAAAATTAAATTAAATAATTTTTAGTTAAGAAAATATCTGACTTGTCCAAAGGAAAACAAAGCACATGACGTGTTTGGGTTTAATCGTTAGCTTTTGAAAATAATTGAGATAAAAAATAGTGTTTTACTATTATATTTGGATTTGAAATACAAGAACAAATGAGTTATAGTCTAATGAAAAATATGTTTACTAATAGTAACATCGACCCAAGTTCAAATCACATTGGCAACCACTTAAATGTTTATATTTACCCATACACAAACTACTATTTTAGGAGTGTCCCGCCACCACTTAAATATTTTTTTTACATATATGCAAACTACTATCGGGGGTTGAATAATAGTGTTCCCAAATTGTAGGGGTGTCCCAGGAGACCACTAGAGCCCTATGGATCCGCCACTGCTCCTACTAGCTAGTGATCCTTCCCGTCCGTCACTGGCACTTCTTGCTCCACCATTAAAAGAGCTGGCACATTAAAATTTCAATTCATCTACAACGACTATCCCACCCTTTGTGACGTTCAGTTGAGAAGACGAGTGGAATGCACCGTTTCATTTCTTCCAACCTTCATTTTCGTCAATACACACCGTTTGCTTCCCACAGTGTCGTTCTGCTTTATTGAAGAATTTGTTTCCTTTTCGTTCAAGTCAGTAGTAGTTTCCCTTTCAAGTAAACAACAAACATATAATTATTACCAGCTGGTTAATATTGTTTGGTAGTGCTAGAACAACCATATATATTGTAATGCGATGAATGAAATGAATCAGGCTTTTAAGTTTCATTCCAGATATGTTGTTATGGTATTAGAGCCCGGTTTGAAACCCTACCCGCCACCCATGGCAGAAAATCAAACAGCAACGAACACTCAAGCAGCTGCTAACGAGTAGCCAACAACTAATCAACCACCACCAGTTACTTACCAGATGGAAGATCCTTACTTCCTTCATGGATCAAAGCAGTTAGGGTCAACCTTGGTTGCCGAGAGACTCAACACCACCAACTACGATGATAAGAGCCGAGCTATGTTCAATGCCCTTGCAGCCAAGAACAAGCTAGGTTTTATAAATGGCACAATACCAAAACCACAAGAGACAGATCCAAAGCATGGAGTTTGGATCAAGAACAATGTGATGATACTTAATTGGATACTGTAGTCAGTAGAGAGTGGGATCAGGTAGACAATCCTCTCCAATAAGACAACACTTGAAGCATGGAGGAGCCTGTAGACCAGATATGAATCTGGAGACATCATCAAGGTTGCAGAGCTTGAGGAGGCACTGGCCAACCTGAAACAAGGTAACCATACGATTACTGAATACTATGGTAGAGTCATTACTCTTAGGAATGAGTTAGATAACTATCAACCACTTATCCCCTGTGATTGCACACCTACTAGTCACAATGACAATAGAGTTTCTTAGAGGGCTTAATGAAAACTTCTCTGGAATTAGATCACATGTTCTTTTTGGAGATGAGCTTCCAGGCATTAATAGAGTTTTTGAAAGAATGCTCCAACATGAGAGGCAACTTTATGGAATACAAACTGGGAAGTTGGTAGCTTCTGTTACTGCAGATGTCACTGCCCTGGCTATGCATCATACCAACAGAAGGACTTACCCTCCTGGAAAGTGGCCTTTTTGCAGATCAGATTATGAGAGGCTAATGAGCTTTGATGAATTCCCAGAAGGCACAAACATCTTACTCAACAACATCTTTTGTCTCCACCAGAGGTAACTATTCTAAGTGTTGGCTATCCATACATGTTGTTAATGCAAGTCTTCATCACATGGACAAATGGATCCTAGATATAGGAGCATCTGATCACATTGTGTGTTCTATTGATCACCTTGAAAACTCAAAGCCACTTGAAAATGTTTACATAACTTTGCCTACTGATGAGTAGATTCAGGCTACTATACATGAACCATGTCTTACAATGTCAATTTAGTCATGGAAGATGTCCTTTATGTTTCCAATTTCTCTTTCAATATGGTTTCTGTCAGCAAGTTAACCACCAATGCCCTTTATGTTTCCAATTTCTCTTCCAATTACTCAATGGACTATACTACATCGAAGGATATAGTAGACCTAAACACATCTAAGCAACTAGTTCTTCTCATTTTGATCTGTGGCACTTTCGTTTGGGCCATGTTTCCCATTTCAAGATTCTCAATCTAAACCTTTTTTGTACATTCATCCATACTCAAAGAGTTCAACCCTATAATGTTTGTCAATTTGTCAAGCAAAGGAGACTTCCCTTTCCTTCCAGTCAAAGTGTAACACTGTATGCCTTTGAACTGCTTCATTTTGGCATTTGAGTCCCAACACAGTACCTACTTATGATGGCTACAAATATTTCCTAGCTATAGTGGATGATTATACTCGTATGAATTGGATCATTTTGCTTACCTTAAAATATGAAGCCAGACCTAAGCAAACTGCCTTTTGCAATCAAATGCAAAGCCAGTTTCAAGTTGCCATTAAAAGAATTAGAAGTGACCAAGGAAAGGAGTTTCAAATGGAGGATTACTTTCGATCTACTGGTATAATACATGAAATGTCTTGTGTTGAAACACCACAGCAAAACAGTAAGGTTGAAAGAAATCATCAACACATCCTTAATGTTGCTAGAGCTCTATCCTTTCAGGCTTCTATGTCACCTAGTTTCTGGAGAGACTGTGTAAAACATGTTGTCTACCTCATTAACAGGGTTCCCTCCACTGTCCTAGACAAAAAAACTCCTTATGAACTTCTCTATCATACAATCCTGACCTTACTGACTTAAAAGTTTTTGGCAGTTTGTGTTTTGCTAGCACCCTAAGAAACCACAAAACCAAATTTCAACCTAGAGCTAGAAAGGGAGTTTTCCTTGGCTATCCTATAGGCATCAAAGATTTCAAAATCTATGATCTCCTTTCCCATGACATTTTCATCTCCAGGGATATCATTTTTCATGAATCCCACTTTCCATTTCACTCCATTCCTTCTGATGGGCCAGATTCCTCCTCCTCCTATCTCCTTTTTCCTATACCATCACCTTCTCCCTCTTCTCCATCTCCAAGTGCTGCTTCATCTAATTCATTCTTCTGCATCTCCCTATCCTTCCAGACCCTCTCTCCCTCTTCTCCATCTCCAAGTGCTGCTTCATCTAATTCATTCTTCTGCATCTCCCTATCCTTCCAGACCCTCTTCTTCCCCTTCATCTTCAAGTTCTTCACCTTCTCCACCCGATCCACCTACACAGCCTACTTCCTCTCAACCATAATCTCAACCCTTACCCACCATAAAATCAACCAGACATGTTAAACCACCTTCTCATCTAGTCCAGAATTATCATTGCTATTTTGCTCAACAATCTAGCATCATTGGTCACTCCTCACCGCCTTAGGTTCAAGACACAAGGTTTACTCTTTCTTCTATTCTCTCCTATGATAACCTTGTTGCTCATTATCGTCATTACCCACTTAACATCTACTCCCATCAAGATCCTAATACCTACAATAAGCCTCTCAGACAGAAGAATGGAACAATGTTATGAAACATGAGATTACAACATTGATTAATAACAGGACATGGGATGTTGTTGAGCTACCTGCTGGGACCATAGGCAACAAATGGGTTTACAAATCCAAGTTTGAGTTTGATGGGACACTGGAAAGAGAAAGGCCAGATTAGTGGCTAAAGGAAACACACAGTATGAAGGGGTGGACTATCAGGATACCTTTTCTCCAGTCATCTAAATGACAACCATCGGGACATTCTTGGCAATTGTAGCTATCGACAATTGGCACATCCATCAATTGGATGTGAATAATGCTTTTCTCCATGGGGACTTGCAAGAGGAGGTTTACATGACACTTTCTAAGGGCTATGATCCTCCTTTAGGTTTTGTTAATCCATTTGTCGCCTAAGGAAGTCCCTTTATCGTCTAAAAAAGGCATCACGCCAGTTTTTCAAGCTCACAGACAAATTGCAGATAGTGGGATACATACAAAGTATGGTCGATCATTCTTTGTTCTACAAAGATACTGATTCTACCTACACATGCATTCTCATATATGTCGATGATTTGATTGTTGGAGGAAATGATCTTACCAAAATTCAGTCACTCAAACAGGGTCTTCATTATGCTTTCAGTATGAAGGATTTGGGAATTCTGAGATTCTTCTTAGGAATTGAAGTTTCCATAAAAAAAAGGGATTCGTTTGTCACAAAGAAAATACACATTAGAAATTCTTGAAGAAGCAAATGTTCTGCATTCTAAATCGGTTTCAACTACTGTGGATTAAAAATTGCATCTTACAAGTGATGTTGATACTTCTTATGAATACCCTGAACACTACAAAACCTTAGTTGGGAAGCTCATTTACCTCACCACCATTCAGCCATATATCAGTTTTGCAACCCAACAGCTCAGTCAATACATGTCTAATCCTAGTGTTATTCACTACAAGGCTGTCTTGCACATTTTGAGATATCTCAAGATAGCCCCTGCTACTGGTCTTTTTCTCCCAAGCCATGGTTCTCTTCGATTAAAAGCATTCACATATTCATATTGGGTTGCCTATGTTGACACACACCGCTCAATCATAGGTTA